TTACTATTTTTTTTATTTATCTTTTTTGTTTTCTTATATTTTTTATTTATTTATTTTTTATTGTGAATTGTTACTCTGGCAGCACTGCCCGAAATCTTTTTGGGAATATTTGATGCCTCTAGAACATCAGGATTAATTTTCCCCAAATTGAAAGTGATAGATCTCGCGCCTAGGCTTTGGTAAATATACATATATGAAGTGGAAGCTAACCTTTGTTATAATTTTTCATAAATATTTTTGGACGAATAAAAATTAAAATATAATTAGAAAATGTTTAAATTCTTATAATAAAATTAAAGTAAATAAATTTAGCATTGTTTTTAGTTTATAAGAATACTTAAGTGTAAGTAGATTATTAATAATTTTCAAATATTTATATAGATTATTTTTCAAAGCTAATATACATATGTATGTCTATGACTATATTGCGAAATTTTACAAGATTTTTTTCCATCTGTAGTTTTTTTTTTTTTAATTCGCACATTTATACCATTCATATACTCGCTTATATAAACAGTAAATATTTTCATAAGTACTTAAGAAAAAAATTTAAAAAAACCATAAAGATAAATGTGTATGCTTGCTTATATGTACTGTATGTGTTAATGAAAATATTTAAAACCTTATATTTGAAAAAGTGCTAGTTGCAAATTACTCGCTTAATTACCTACAAATACCTATAAAAGTACATAAAATGTTTATGTATAATCTCTCTTAGCATAAGCTGGTGCATAAATTTATATGATCACATGCATATTTTTTGTTTTTTTCTAGTACGTGTTATAATTTATTAAAATCAAATGTAATCACATATGTAATCAAAAGTAAAATATATTATATATTGTAATTTCTAGCTTAGTAATGTAATTTGCAAGTACCAAAAGCATAGCCGTGACTTAAATGTACATAAGTGTAACCACACATACCCGCAAATATATATACATATATGTATGTGTGTGTATATGCTTGCATAGTGTGTAGTGGCGTCGAAGTGTAGTGCCCAAGTATGCGCTCTGCTGCAAATCTTCGCAAGTATTTATAGATGCTAGTACTCGTATATTTGTATCCGACTTTCGAATACCTAACCTACTTTTCAAGGTTTTATAAAATGCTTCAAATTGTTAAATTTATATGCTTACACAAATATACATACATACATAAATACAGATATACAGTTATATTATGGAAATGTCTCAGTAAAACATAAATTGTCTTTGCTTGCGGAGCAGCATATTTATTTGATTAAACAAATACAAAAACAAAAAACAAAGGAATACAATTTATTATGTAGTTCACTAAAAGCAATTGCAGCTATTAAATAAAAATGTATAAACACAAATTTTCAAATTGCTTTATTTAAAAAAAAAATGCATATATGGTTTTTAGATTTGAGAAAACTTAGATGTACTTTGGATTTATTTCACAAAGTTTTGTTACACAATTATATAATGTCTGAAATTAAACATAAAAAGATATTAATGGCTGATCCACGTGAAACTTCTGCTCCGCTTTGCGTCAGACATTTGTATTGACCGAAAAGTTGGATGCATGTGTGCTTATTTATGAGTTCTTTCACATCAAAGCGAAAGCTGCAAAGTGAAGCAAAATGTTTGCCAACTCTCATTGTTTTACGCTTTGCCAAGCAACAGTCGCCATTTTTGTGAGAGAGTAACACAGTCACACAAAATCAGAGGGTTGTATTTGAATAGGCATATCAGTCCGAGTAATGTCGGATGAAGTTGCAGTTTAATTTGAGCTAAAGTGCTATATTTTGATGCTTTATCTAATCCTTTGATCCGCGACGATCAAGCGGGTAGACACCGCTTACTTATGGTCGAGTTAATAACAGTGCGCCAGTTTTTCCTTTTTGCTATGTGGCACCAATTGGAGATTCTAAGCGAAGCCAGATCCTTCTCCAATTGGTCTTTCCAACAGAGTGGAGGTTGTTTGATGACAGGAGATATTTCGTTTTGCTCTCGTTCACTACCAGATTCATTTTCTTCGCTTCTTTATCCAGTCTGGAGAAAGCAGAACTAACGGCTCAGATGTAAGGCCATGATATCAGTATCATCAGAAGCTGTACACTCTTATAAAAGATTGTGCCTTCTCGATTAAGCTCTGCAGCTCGAATTATTTTCTCCAGCAGTAGATTGATGAAGTCGCTCAATAGAAAGTCGCTTAGTTTGAAACCTCGTTTGGTATCGAACGGCTCTTAAAGGTCCTTCCCAATACTGACGGAGTTTTGAGTAGATACCAAATTCAGACATAGCGGCTTTTTGTGATATCTGAAGCAGCTTTGAAATTAATGAGGAGGAGTGTGTATCGATTTGTTTTCTCGGATCTTTTCAAATATTTGGCACATGATGCTTATCTGGACAGTTGTTGATTTTCCAGTCCAAAAGCCACGCTAATAAGGTCCAATCAGTTTGTCGGGTACACCCAATAGAATCTTATATGCGATGTTGTTGGCGCCGGTTGTGGGGTCTTCCTTTTTGTGGATTGGACAAAGCACACTTAAATTTCTATCGTCGAGCATGCTTTCGTCCGCTCATATTCTACATCTGGCGGATGCTATTGCACCGTGAAAAAAAAACTGTATTGAAGCAGAAGGAGACTATTTCGAATAAAACAAATTGATTTTGCGAAAAAACCATTTGTTCTGTTTTTTTAAGTCCTGGAGAACTTACTTTGGAATGCACCTTGTATATTGCAGGTAAGCACTGATCAAATGACAGCTCTTGAATCGTCGCCTGAGCTTGGCATGGTCAAAGACCCTCAGCAAGTTCAATGACCTACATATATATATACTTATATATTACTGTTAACATGGATATTTTGTACAAAAAGTTGTTATCTCATTAACTAAGTAAGAAAAAAAAATTATTTTAATGAAAATATTTTATTTAAAATTTATTGTCTACTATATTTAACTGTATTTAAGTTTACTTTTGAAACACTGAAATATTTTTAATACAATAAATTACATATGAATACACACACACCAATCAATTAACAATTTAAATTATTCGCATTTATTTACAATAATTATAAGGAAATCACAGTTATAATTTGTTCGTTAAATTTTTTATTAAAAATAATTTTTTTTTATTAATAATGAAAAAAATATATATACCTCGAATATTTTAATATCCTTTAACCTAATTATGATAATTTTTTTTTAATGATTTAAGACACGCAACCCGCTAAACAATTTTCATGTAAGGTACAAAAAAGTCCTGTATAAAAGTTTATACTTTCAAATACTGTCAGTTTTATTCCGGAAGACACTAAAGACACCCAAAAAGGTTTTTTGCCAGCTTTCCTACTTGTGTAACAACTACCACTGAAAAAAGCTTAAAGCTTTCAACAATGAGCTTGCACAATTTTCGAAAAGTTGCCAAAGAAGCTTTTTCATAAATAAGGTTATGAAGCACATTAATTGTTTGAGAGTTAGATCTAGAAATATATGTGGCCTATAGTATTATAGAATCGAAATCAATTGAAGCTATCAAATAAAAAAGATATATATTTTACTTCCTACTTGTATTCACATATTCATGATTTCACTAGAGAGTCATTTACAATAAAATTTTGTCCTGAAATTAAACGATTTTTTTAGACTCAGAAACCATATGTATGATCGTACTAACGCTGTTGATATGTTCCATTAAGCTTTCACCATATGAATGCCGTTATAAAGTTCCGATACAAGCGCGTTGAGTCGAAGAACTCGCACTGACCTATTAGCCCTCCTAAAGGAGCACGAAAGTGCTCTTAAAGCTCTTGCAATAACTTGCACTGAAGCTTTTAAACCGTCAACTCAAACGGTACAGTGAAAGTAGTCCTCAGACTGTCAAAACAACTAACAGATAACCCTTTGAGGACCTGCGATGTCCAAATCACGGTATGCAAATTTAATTGCAATATTTCAAACTACATTGCGACCCCTGTCACCAAAACCTATTCAACAAACTCCTTTGTCAACGGCTCACATTCACTCCTTGTACTGTGGCTGCTTCTCGGCGTATTCCGATTTGATGGTCGCACCTGCCGGGCCACCAAAAGTCGACATATTACCATACAGACCGGTTGCGGGTGGCATTACACCAGCTACCGCCGCAGCACCCAACATGTTCGCCATATTCGCTGGCATACCACCCGGATAGAGGTTTTGGTAGAAGAGTGGGTTCTGTAGCTGGAAGAGCGCCATCAGATGTGTCAACTGCATATTTGGCGTATTAGGATCCTGCATTTGCATGCTTTGTGCAGCAGCTGCCGCAGCTGCGGCTGCAGTGGCAGCATTGAAGTTGGGCAAGAAGGATGGTGGGAAGAGACTCGCAGCAGTGCTTGGCATTTGTGCGTTATTGGCAAGTTGTGCCGTAGAATCAACGGTGGCAGACAATTGGTCAGTGGTGGGCTCCAACTTGATGCGCTTGGCGGACTCAGTCTTAGCGGGCAATTCCTATAAATAGAGAAGACAATCAAAAATAAATTTGCAAAAGTTTTCATGTGACTTCACTTACGATTTTCTTTGGTGGACGACCACGTTTGCGCGCCAAAAAGCGATCAGCGCTGAGCGAAGACAAAGGAGTGGTGGTGTGCGTGGTCACATTAGCCGCAACAACGGTAGTAGCCGCTGCGGTTGTCGTGGCAATCGATGCTGGTGAATCCTCACCGCTGGAGTCCCTCTGTTTCTTGAAATTCTGATAGGCCTGCTCGCCATCGAGACGTTCGTGCTTGCGCTTATGGCTGATCATTTGACTACTTGAGTGCAAAATGTAAGTGCAGCCCTCGCGTACACAATGAATGTGATTGCAGACGGTGGAGAACTTGCAACCATCGAAAGGACAAGCCTCGGTTTTTAGTATTTTCTTGAAACCATCCTGTGTGAGCTGATAGTCGCGCAGATGATAGGATTTGTGTTTATCTGTATATAGAATATATAGATTAGAATTAGAGTTTAAACGTCTAGCAGATAGGGCCAGCTAATTATTGCGCTCCATCTAACACTTACCCATATCAGCCTTGTTCTTGAACGTGTGATTGCAACCCTCACGGCAGCAGTGATAATGCGACGTCTTCTTGCCATAGAATGGACAGTCTTCAATTTTGCAATTTTCGTGTGCGCGAAAGCGTCGGAAGCCTTCCTGTACGATTTCCGAGTTTTTGCGATGGAAATTCGCATGCATTTGCACATCGCTCGTGCTCACATAAACCTTCGAGCAATCCTCGTAAACACAATGATAATGCGTTTGCTTCCAACAATACGTACAACCGGCGCCATAAGCAGGCTCACAGTCATCCGAGGCAGAAAAACGCGCAAAACCCAGCAACAAACTCTCCTTGCGTTTCTTATGCCATTTCAAATGTCGAATAATATCATCTTTCTTGCTCAATATCTTACCCTGACAAGGCTCGTCGAAACAATGAAAATGTTCGCGTAGATTCTCCTGCCGACAGAGCGCATTCTCACACTCCAAATAAGACGACACTTTGCGCAGATTCTTGAGATTTTCTTCGTTTTGCAGGAATGCATCTAAACTGCTGACGGTGTTCAGACCCATTATTCCTGATGTACCGGTTAGACCAGTTACTCCAACCGCTTGCTGTGTTAGCTCAGTATTGAGCATCTGTGTGCTTGGATGTAGACTATGTTTTTTATTATTCCCTGCAGGCAACTGGTCACTAGAGGGTGGTGTAAGTAAGGTTTTCGCAAGCGACATTGGTGTCACGTTTGCACTCTCGTTTTCTGTGAGTTGTGTAAACTGGCCGGACACATCTTGAGTGAGCTCTGTAGAGCTCTGTTGTGACAGATAGTGCGTGGAATCGGCTGGTTGCTTCGTGGGTGTTACATAAGGCTAAAAGAGAATTAAATTTGTGTTGAAGTTTGGTTATTAAAAATAAAATTTTACTTTTGTATAATAAAACAATAACATGGATGTAGTCTCATTTTCGGAATTGAGATTCGAATCTATATCTTCTGTCTACTGGTTCATGCTTGTTGAACGACTGTAGGGTTTTCTTATTAATGTCGGCAGCATTTTTTCATCACTCGACATTTTAGAGACATACTTCTCAATCAGAAACAAATTGTGCGGTGAGTTACCAACTACATACATGTATGAATGTATGTATAATATGCATACATATATGAGAAGGCGAGCACGTTCATTCAGCCCACGCGAGTTGTCCTCTTAGAAGTCTTTGCAAATCATCATAAAGTTTATTTACTCAAAACGCTCGTATTTTCATTAGAAATAAAGTTGTCGTTTAACATTTGTTTACTTATTTCAATTTTTTTTTTTTTTTTTTTTTTTTTGTTATTAAAAAACGGTTGCAACATTGTTGCCGAATTGGTTGTTGATCTTGCACAGCTGTAAGTCAGCAGACTGGTAATGGATACCGTGTACATATAAACATAGTGTTCGAACATTTGTACGTACATCACTTTGAGATATATATTTTTCCACTTATAAATATAGTATATGTATGTATACACGTACCATTTTTCGATTAACCTTAAGTGCGATATTCTTCATATTATTCAAAATCTGCATTGATTTTTCGAATTCCGTATAAAAGTCCGCAGTTATTGGCAGTGATGTCAAAAAAACATAAACAAAAGCGCACTTCGAAAAAGAAAAGTTAAGACTGTTAGAAATTAAGCTAACCGTTTAAGTGTCTTATTCAATATTGAGACTAGACAGCGGTTAAGATCAGCGACTCTGCAGTCGTTCTCTCGACAGTGGATCCCACTAAGTAATCGAAACGGTTCCGGTTTTTTATCCGGCCAAGGATTGTGAACTGGCATCGTTTCTCGAAATTACTTCAGGCATTTTTTCTGCCGCCAACATCCACGACTCTGTTTTGGGCTTACCACATACCCTTTTAACAGTTATATATAAGTAAGTATGTATATATTCAGTCAGAATGAAGTGGAATTTAATGTTTCAGTGGATGTACTGAAAGATTGAGCTGTAGATCGAAACTATTTCTTTAGTACTCTATTCGCCAAAGCCGACTTTAATGTTTTGCTACATTCTATTTGGCTGCACCGAAGCTGTAACAGCCTTTCCCGGCTCAGATTATCCTTCCAAGAACTCGATTTAGAGCGGCCAGATTTTATGGCAGCTACATATATACTATAGTGGTCCGATTTGAACAATATGTTCGGAAGTTAAAACCTTACATTGCCCAATAGTCTATGCCAAATTTCGAGAATATAACAGTTTTCCATACAAAAACCTGATTTAGATCGTTCACTTTATATGACAGCTATACATCTACTAAGGCGGATGTTGTTGTAGCGTCAAAATTTTGCCGCTCGATATTCCCACAAATAAGCAGTTTCTTGAGGAGAAAAGGACGTGTGCAAAATTTCAGATCGATATCTCTTAAACTGGGCTAGTCCCCCATACAGGCAGCCAGGCAGCGAACATGATTAAATCGACTCAGCTCGTCACAGTGATCATTAGATATATATGTATGTATGTATATTTTATTTGCTTTCGGATGCTAACTACGTGGCACACTTCAGATACCCTGTTCGGATTTAACTTCGCAATTTCATACGGAACTCGCTTTCTTCAAACGGGTCAAAAACTAACGGTAAATACATCGATTACAAACATGATTTAACTCACCACACTCGAAGAACCTTCCAAAGAGTTCGAAGAGTTTCGCGCATCCACATTACTTCTTGTCCTCAGGCAACGTGTCTCAGCATTGCTGTGCCGCAGACTAGCCAAAGGCTTTTCGTCTTCCTCATCGTCATCAAGCACCTCTACAGCTTCGACTACATCATTGCTTAGCTGTTGCTGCGCCCTTATCCCACATTCTTCTGCATCTGCTTGCCTACACTCACGCCAACGATCTGTCCGTCTATCGGATAAATCCTGCGCTTGTGCACGATACTTCTCCTCCTCCACCGTGACGGTGTCACTGACATCTTCAACGTCATTGGATGTGATGGAAGCATTGTCCAATGGACTGCAATCTTCCTCGTCCAGCTGCGTTGACACCGCCGCCACCTCAGCTCCTACTTCTACCCGCTCTTCATCTTCGGTGGGCGTAGATGTCACTGTAGAAGATTGAAGAGAATTAGCACCTGTAATATGACCTACATCACAAGCTAAATCGGTTGTGGGGAAAATGTGTGTTTGAACGGGAAATTGACTGCCGGCCGAAACATTGTAAGCAGCCGCTGCCAATGATAACGCCGCCGCCGCCGCCGCCGCCGACATCCCCGAATTCGGTGTTGTTGGTGTTAACAATAAATTCGACGGCGCGGTGAGTGCGGGCGGTGTGGTCGTTAGCATTGGTGGCGGTGGTGCTGACAATTGGCCGCACAGTAACTGTTGTAGGGGAGAGAGTTTGTTGTGTTGTGTATTGTGTAGTTGCTGTTGTTGTATGGCTATTGAGGAGTTGGAATTACTATTAGGACTACGGGTGGTACAACTACTGCTACTACTACAGTTGGTGATGGTGGTGGTTGTGGTTTGCGAATTTTTGCGTGAATGCGTTCTTGGATTGTGCGGCTGCTGCTGCTGCTGCTGGTGTTGTTGCTGTGTTTGTTGTGTCGCATCGACGAATGTTGTTGCTGTTGTCATTGTGCTGCTGCTGATGTCCATCTCCATTTCACGCTTACTGGGTGAGGGAAGATTATGCATTTGCTGTTGTTGTTGTTGTTGTTGCTGCTGCTGCAATTGCTGCTGCTGTTGTTGTTGCAGCAAATTCATCATATACAGTTGCATGATAAACTCCAGTTGTGTAGACATTTTGACGTTGATTTTATTGTTTACGTTTTTTTTTTTGTTTGTTGTAAAATTGTTTTAAAATCTACGAGCACACTCACGCACAAGCTGACGATGAGGGTATTCACAGTCAACAGCGGCACTTTTCACAGCAATTATTATTTTGAAGTAAAAATATTGTACTTTTAAGTATTTAATTAAAATTTCAATATTTGCACAATAATTTTAATAATTTTTTTTTTCTTTGAATTCTCAAATTCCTCTCTTGCACAATATATTTTACAAAAATTATAAACAAATATTTTTAATTAATTATTTTTAATCTTTTAATTATTTATTGTTTAATTTTTTTCATTAATTTTATTATTCTATTTTCAATAAATAATTTCTCAATATTTTTCCCAACTTAATAACATCCAAGAACAGCACAATATTTCTACAATGACTCTTAATTCGCAAAAAATTCACAAAACCACACAATTTTTTTTTTTTTTTTATTTGGAAATCTTCCGATTATCAATTCGTTATTTATTTCTTTGCAGCGAAGTAGCTGTGTCTTCGTCTACAACTCTTTCGTTCGCATGAAGAGGCTTAAAGAAATAGAAGCGATGGATTTAATAAATTGTCTCGCTAGCTTGGCATCAAGGCTCAAACTGATTCAACTCTTCCACAGCAGGCGTCTAATATACGTGACTGTCCTTAAAAAATTCTTCTAATGCCAAAAGTAGTTCAAATTGCAGCATCGCAACACTTTCAACCCTCTCCCTGCCGGTAAAAAGTGATCAGCAGCTCTAGCATTAACACCAAATAACGTGCTCACCTAGCCATCTCTGCTAAAAAATATCTTCCACATACAAGCGCACACACATAGCAATCCGCTCCGATCCGTTGCTCTGCTCACCATTTGCACCGATACACATACATTTGTAAAGCCAATTTTCACTTTTTAAGCCAGAGGGTTGCTGAGCTCAGCTATTTTTTAGCGTTTCAGCTTCATATTCTCTCAATCGCAGCCGCACTCAAACTCTTATACTGCTTGGTAGTGCTCTTTTGACGCTCCGGAAAAATGATTTTGTTCGGTAAAAAATATTTTTTGAAAATCTCTTCTACATTTACTTGGTGTTGTTGTTTTTGTGTAAGTTTTTTTTTGAAAAATTTTGCAATTTCTTCCACCAATAAAATGCCAGCAAAATGCTAATCGCATGCGGAAAGTGGTGTTTTTTAGATAAAAAATGAAAATCCAACAACCAACGGCAAGTCGAGGAATTTGTTCTTTCCTGCTGCGCTCTTGTTTGAGTTTTTTTCTGCGTTGTAATTGTTGCTTTCTATTGGATTCGGACAGCTGTGCAAAAAAATTCCTTTGGTGCGAAAAAATGGCATATGGACGAGCGAATGCGAGTGTATGTATATGGATGTTTAGGATACATATGTGTATGTACATACATAGATATGTATGTGTGCATGTATATATATACATTTGTAAATTTTTGGATTTAATAATTAAAATATTTCAATGAGACTAAGGCTTTTTAATTATTTATTAATTACAATTATTTCGAAAAGTTAATCAAAATTCAATATTTTTATCAGTGCAATAGCTAACGGAGAGAGAGTTCGATGAATATGTACATATTTATGTACATATATATGTATATTGTGTAAAATCACATAATAATCACTAATTTTCAAAAATGTGTTCTCGAACCAGTAGTTATAGTAATATATTATAGAACTAAAGATGTCCAGGATCCTCATTCAAATATTTTAATAACATAAGCAACGAAACCGATAGTTAATCTACTATAAACTATAGGAATTAATCTCACATTTGTGCAATCATTTGGAAAAGTTATTATATATGGATTACCAAAACTTGTTGATATTGGAAATAATAAACAAACCATTGTCATCCAATTTATCTAGGACAAGAAAGGTTTCGCAAATCCTAAACGCAATAAGTAATTTAGTGAACAATTTAAGCCTGATAAGATATCGGCATTTTAGATTTTTAATTTAAATATTTTTGTACGAAATTAAATGTGGAATCATTTTTACAAAAATCTGAGCAACGTGAAAGAAATAAAACGTCACATTTCTTCCCAAAAAGTATTTCGACTGAGTAAACGTGCACCTTATTACTAGATGTTTGAGCCAACTGCTCCACAAATGTTTGGTGTCTGCTTTGACGATCTTCGACATATAGAACAGCCTACACGTTATAAACCTCCCGTTAACAACCGATATATTTTTAATAAGGACTTTTTAAACTAAAAAATGTCTTCCTTTCAGAAACAGCTTTTAGCAAACTCTTTTGATGTACTTAGGGCGGAAACGGTCGGAAAAACTCTTGTCTAAAGACTTAGTTCAATTATATATTTCTGGCTATAGTAAAACAAAGTGCAATATAAAACCACTCTCACCCAAGACTTTGTTAAAATATTGGTTATTTTACGGTTTTTTACTCCAGTTACAATCAAGCTTAAGTCTTCGTAGCTGAGGGTTTATATGCTTCTACGTTCTGTTCTCTCAATACACTCAACCAAAAGGAACAACATTAACTTTTTATAAAAGTAATTATGAACCTTCTAAGTATTGCTCTAAAGCTTTGAACTAAAACTAGAATACAATTTTTGCTCGACTAATATTTTTATGGAGTTTTAACGAGGATTTTTTTATTTAAGCAAGAGGCAGAGGATATTTTTGATATAGGTTAGGTTAATTTGGTAGGCCAAAAAGCTACGCATAGACCAGTTTTAAAGAAACTCTGCGGCCTCACTAGCGATACCAATGCGGGCATTGTTTCCCTGGTGTCCTGTTCTTAACGTACAGAAAATGACCAGCTAGTATTCCCATCATGTGCACTACTCATTGCCCTGGATGCCTTTGTGGACTGGCACACAATAGACGTGAAGTTGCTTACTTCTAGCAACACTTTCCACGACTGCCCCTGCTTCCCAAGACACTTCTGGCTGATATGCGATACGAGGTTACTGCCTACAATGTTACTTGGCTGTCTACGGATATATTGACTCTGGAATTAGCTGCCGGTGCATTAGAGGCCAGTTCTGCGACTTTCGCAATAACTAAGACCGCAGCTTGAAAAATACTGCAGTGGTCCGGCAACTTAAAAGATTGGCTTATGCCTTACTCTGGACAGTATATTTCCGCCCCACCTCCATCGTCTATTTTCGAGGCATCCGTAAAGATGTTTAAAGTTTTGCGCGTAGATAACATTTTTGATATAACAATACAGTATACCACTTTTGGCTTATAGAACTGATCTAGGTATTGAGGTCTGGTTGCGAAACAGTGATGTGAGACCTACTAAATTAATGAGCAAAGAAGCAGAGAAAATTGAATGTTCACATTCAAAGTATAATCGAGATGGCAATAATAAAAACGATTTTACGTTGGTCCTTCCCAATGGGAAAATGTAGTTTTAGTTTTACGATTGCGCCACTTTTTATGCGGCTTACATTGACAAATGCAGATTTTTATTTACAATATTTTCCTTGCTTCATTAAAATGGAAAACTTTGTCGCACGCGGAAAATGGCGAAAGAAAAATCGTCGAGCGAGAAAACTAAATCGAATTGAATGAGCGCGAATTTCGCAGCTGCAAAAAATGCAGCTTGATTTCGGGAAAAACGCCGAATGCGCGCATAAAATATGGCACAACAAAATTATGATTTCCTTTACAATTGCAAATAATGCGAAAACGGCACAAAAAATCTGCATTACAAAGAATCGGTGAATGTGGAGGAAAAATGGCGCAAACGAATTTGCGAAAAATATGCACCGAAGTTATATTAACGCAAATGAAGTGAATGAGGTTTAGGGAAAAACATGAATTTGCATAATTCATTGAGGCGCAAACATTGAAGAGCGCTGCCAGCGGAGGGAGGCACCGGCAAAAAAGGTTTGTCATAAAACGCTATTAAGAAGTACAACAACAAGATGAGAAAACACATTGGAAAAGTGTGCGCGCAGGATTAAAAGGCAAACAGCGTCGAAGCCAGGATGTTGTAGGACGAGCGAGACGCTGCGAGCGCAGCAGTGTTGCCGATCGTTTGCCGATATCATTTGCATAAATTATTGCAAAGGACCTGATCGCTGTCGATTTACATGCACAAACACATACACATATGTAGCTGTATATGCGTGCAAAGGGTAGCATAATTTTGGCAATCGCGGCGGAAGCCAGCACGCTGCTCACCTTACGAATTTCAACCAGAACGAAATTCGGTCGGGGCGCGCATGCGCATAGTGTTATGCAAATGACCTGTCGAACGGTTCGATTGAAGAGTCTTTCACCATTCACTATTGCAAAAGTCTTCTCTACATCGTTCGATGTATGTGTGTCTCTGCGCTAGCAATTGAATGGCGCATGCGCACAATTTTCAGCGAACGTGTGCTACGCTTTTTTTTTTTTCAAAACTATTAGAAATTTATGCAAATTAACAAATGAATGAAATAGTAGTGTGTGTACAAGCTGTAAACTATGTATGTGTATATATACATATTTATATAGATTTGTATATCGAGCATAAGAGATTATAAAGCGCAAGCAGTCAATATATTCGATTCGGTTCGATACGGCAGTTTGATTTGTAGAAAAGTTATTGTGGCCATAGGACACCCTCCCAATTTTAATTTTATTAAAGCAATCGTTCTGCAAGCAGAGCTGAGTTTTGGTAAATATACATATACATGTATGTACATGTATATGTATATGTATATGTATATGTAATTTTTATATAGTTGCCAAAAAGCATATATGTTTGTATATGCTTTAACCAATATTTCGAGTTTCGAAATGCACGCATACATATGTATGTATTTACGGATTGCCGATCGCAAGCACAACAACAACGAGTAAGCGTATCGCTTAGTTTAACCCAGCTCAAGATGGCATTGTTAAATATAATATACACAATTGTTGGCTTAATTAAGCAAAACACCGCAGACAAAAGATGTCAAAGAGTTGGAGCAAAAGCTCAACTACACAGTGCGCTTAGTAGGGTCGCTCCCTTTTCACCGCGAAATTGAGTATTACGTTAGGTTATGTTCATTTGATAGGCCAATAAGCCACGAATAGACCAGTTTTGGTACTTTGCGAAACCAGATGGAGTTCAGTTGCTAGGTACAAGAGGAGTAGTTATATTTTAGGATGCCTGTGCTTGAAGCGAGTTTTAACAGGCTCAGCGAGCGCACCATCGAT